CTATGGGATTTAACATGGGATTACAGCTTAAGTCTATGGCTATACTTTAACATGGGATTCTTGAGTCTATAGGGAATTATTAGGTTACGTCAGAAACAATGGGACTGATATATCTCAATAAATACAGCTAATTTGATAAAATCAAGTTATATAATTATGCATTATGCATAACATTACTGATTCACAATATAACTGTTTTGTTTCTTTAAAAAGTATTTAAGTTAATTTTAATTTTTAATGATTTTTAACAGTTATATTTTTAAAATATTTTTGAGAATGATTATTGGATTTTAATGAAAAGTTGGTTGTATGATTATCTATAAGTCACATGTTATCCTATTAACTTATATCACTTTAGTATCAATATTAACGAGACTAGCATGTTTTAAAATTTTAACTAACATTTAGTTTAATATTTATTGTATGATTCTAGATAGGAACAAATGCATACTTGGTATGGCACTTAGAGTGTCATAATACTTTAACTGACTATCATGATTTATTATTTTAATGTCCTAAGTAATAGTCAAATTTTGGCAATATTGAGATTTTTTATTCAAAAATCATTAAAAATTAAAATTAACTTAAATACTTCTTAAAGCAACAAAACAGTTATATTGTGAATCAGTAATGTTATGCATAATGCATAATTATATAAACTTGATTTTATCAAATTAGCTGTATTTATTGAGATATATCAGTCCCATTGTTTCTGACGTAACCTAATAACATGAGATTACAGCATAAGTCTATGGCTATACTTTAACATGGGTAATGCTAAGTCTATGGACAATGTTAAGTCTATGACAAAGGAATAACATAGGCAATGCTATGGATATCATGTGTAATGGTATATCAATGGGACAAAGTGATTATAAATGAATCTGCCATAATAAATAGAACTAATTCTTGTAAAAAACATTCAAAATAATAATAGTGAAAGTATTTTAACAATCGTATTGAAAAATTTAAAATCATTGATGCATTTCCCGAATAGTGGTTAACGTATAGCATCGCTGTGTGTGAGTTGTTTCGATTCGGAGAATTTTTATGACATTATTTATAACTATACTAGCTGTAACGCCCGTACAGATCCCTATGTGCACATTATTGTAGAGGTGTGTGCCATTACATTGATATTCCCAAATTATTCACAAACTCTATGATCACTCCCTCTCCCATTTGTGTTGTCTATTCCCCTCTATGTGTTTCAAATGCATTCACCCCATTTACACCCATGTAACGCTTTTTTTTGCGTACTTCATTTAGTTGAAATATTATACTTGATTCTAGGTAAGATAAATATAAAATATGAGTCTTTATGAACGTTCGCATTTCAAACATAGGGACATGCGAACGTACTATTCTTTAAATGACTACATGTGAACAAGTGCGAACATAAGGGGGAGGGGGTCTAGATTTTTTAGAAAGTGCGAACGTGATTTGTGAACAACGCCTAAGATATTTATAATATAAACTAGTAATCCTAAAATTGGCCAGAACACTTTCTCAAACAATGTTGATTGGCCACTGTATCAGTTCACAGTTTGATTCACTTTAACCTTGGATATATGAATTATATGAATTTCAACAATTTTAGGATATATAATATAAAGTTATACATAAAACATGTACAATACTGTATACTGACGAGCTTTATATTGATTAGTACTGTACAAAAGTTCTAGATTCTAGAAAATAAAAATAATCTATTTTTAATGAGTCTCTGTTTGTGACAGAAATCAAAACAAACAATGTTTGCAAAACTATTAGTGAACCACAATTCGGGTTATGCTTAAAGAACACATACTTTTCGTAAATAACTGTTTTAGAAATTGATTTTTGCCAGCATTTCATTGTTGTTTAAAAGAAAAGTTAATAATTTATGAATTTTTAGATAAGTTTTAATATTTTGCTTTTCATTGTTATAATATAGTTTTTTTTTTGCAAAATTGCATGGTTAATGTTGCTTTCTGTTTATAACATAAATTATATGATCAGGGTGGAACTTTTGATTTATCTTTACATTACACATATAAATTATATACTGTATAATATAACTTTTAATGTATTATTGTAATTTATACGTGTTCAATCTTTTTTTTAGTATATCACAGATACAGATTCACAGTATGCCATAAAAAGGTGGCGCAACGGCCAGTAAAAAAGTTTAGGTTTGTCAGTATTAAACAAGAAACACAGCGCGAAGGTCAACCTAATAGTTTCTCACCCATTTTTAGTGGTTGGCTTTCAGTCTACTCACAAAACGTTATTTAAAACAAAATTTAATTATTAAATACACAATTTAATGAGATTTGTTATATTGTTTGCGATTATTTAATATTTAATAATATCTATGTGTTTAATATATGCATTCAATTTAATGATAAATAACTGTTTTAGAAATTGATTTTTGCCAGCATTTCATTGTTGTTTAAAAGAAAAGTTAATAATTTATGAATTTTTAGATAAGTTTTAATATTTTGCTTTTCATTGTTATAATATAGTTTTTTTTGCAAAATTGCATGGCTAATGTTGCTTTCTGTTTATAACATAAATTATATGATCAGGGTGGAACTTTTGATTTATCTTTACATTACACATATAAATTATATACTGTATAATATAACTTTTAATGTATTATTGTAATTGATATAACTATAAATTCATGAAGATATAGAATATTTAAAAATACTTAAGTAAATCCATTGTTATATGTTATTTAACAAATGCTAACAATTTTAAACTCAACATTATTTTATAGATAATTAGTAAATGACAACGAATTTTTTATTATTGGTGAAAAATATTTGTATGCATAAAATCCTTGCAATTATGTTACACTAGAAAGTATTAGTACTGCAATTAGTTTTCCCATAATAAATATTTTATTTCGTTACAAAATGATTAATAATCCAAAATTGTTTCAAATTATTAGTGTAGCATCTCAAAAGTCAAGACCCATTTGTTTAGTCATAAAACTTGTTAACCAAATGTTTTATAACTCGTGATTTCTTATAAAGCGATTGCCTTCAGAGTGTTTGCCAGTGTATCTGTGTTTGAGTGGTCCGTAAGCACCTGTGCATTGCACCATGGCATTGTGACCATGCAGCAATCAATTGAAAGTGAATTAATTAACAAATAATAGGAGAAAAATGAAGTCAAACCAAAATGATTTCCACTAGAATTGCATTGATTGGGAAGAGGAGTAAATAATTGTCGAACAACTCGTCTCTCGTCGTTGTTTTCAAACTGAATTCATGTGTCATTTAATAACTATTTTAATATTTGTGTTTGAATTGTATTTCATTATTTCTTACCATTTGATCGTTGGGTCGAATTGTTCTCAAATACTGTCCCTTTAGATTCGCATCTCTTCTCTCTTCGCCTGTAACTCGAGTCGAGTCCAAGAATTTGAGAAAAGGTAAGCGATAGATGACATATCGACGGTATCTTTCATAGTCCTGCTCATCATTTTGTGAATTGTTGGACAACTGGTCGGGACAGGCGTTGTTTCCCAACAAACTCAGGAATGTCACATTTGGACACTTTTCCGATAAGTGTGTTAATAGTCTTTCCAGATCTGTTAACTTACAATCATATAAACAGCACGTAATACTTCCAATACAATGTTCAATTTATAATAAATACTATGTTCAATACTATGATGATTTGTAAACAGTAAATCATATCTTTGTAACTAATGTTGACAATTAATAAGAGATAAATTAAAAGAAGTATTTTTAATAATTAATACAGCCAACAGGTGTATATTGCAACATCTCAACATTGCAATGTCATTCAAACATCACATTAAAAACTAACGCTAACAAACCTATTAGTATGTAAATCAATACAAATCAAGTGAAGTACATGATACTTTGTACATGATACTAAAGTATACTTTATATGTATACTTTGCTACATACAAATAGTGCATAAAAGGCATAATTTTGGTTGCTCTATTAATAATCAAATTATAATTAATACATTATAAATATTCTCACCAAATAAATGTCTAATTCCCATAGTTTATAATGCAGTACAGATTAGATACTCGTGCAATCTTTTACAGTATTTAAATGAGGTAATTTTTAAATTAAATACTGTACTTTAAATTATATTTTATAATTATCGATGTTGGTGGTGAAATGTTAGGAACGTCTACATAGGCTCAATTTAGCTCTACATTTAAGAAACGTTTAGAGTCTATGATGTCTGAAAAGATGGGCTTTGCCTACAGTATATGCTCCCATAGACAATACATTGCAATTTTGCTCATTTAGTGCTCTTTCAGATACTATGAATTAGACTAAATTTTCATCCACTTTATATCAACGACATGTACAGTACATTTGCCCATATTTACTAAATAAATCACTAATTTTTATAATTTAATTTAAATTAATTAATATTATTTAAAAAATGATTTATTTAAATATAAATCACAATACTTTATTTATCAAAAGTCTATTATTACTTTGTATAATTGAATTTTATGATAATGATCGCAGTAAAATATTTATAGAATACATGATAGAATTTTTAAGAATTTGCAAGAATCTTTAATAAATTGGAAATAATGTATCAAAAGGTTAATAAACCAAGAATATATGAATTATCTAAAATAAAATGTACATACTGTATACTAATTAGTTTGTAAACTATATAATTTACTACATCAAAAGTATCTAGTTGAAACCCCTATGAAAATTTTACATTTTTGTGAAAATTTAGCCCAAAATTTAGTCTAAATCAAATAAAAATTTCAGTGAAATTTTCATCCCTATCTATAATACGTTTAAACACGCAAATTAGTTTAAATTATTTTTGATAAAAGAGAACATTTTTACTGCATGATACGAATTATAATGGAATACCTTATTTTTATTTAGGGACAAAGTGTGAAGCGATGGATTATATGATAATTTAATAGAATCATCATTAATTAAGTTATTATCAAGAATCAATTCCTTAAGATTTGTGAACTTTTCAATTCCATCCAAATTGTCTATTATATTGAAACTTAGGTCCAATTTTACGGCATATTGTGAATAAATTTTCACAATATTTAAAGGAATTTGTTGCACATCTTGTCCTATATATGATAACTAAATACACATGAATTAAATTATTATATTTTAGCTTATACATTAAGTAATACAAAAGTATAAATTATATTATTTAATGTATGCAATATAAGCCATAATTTATTCAGATAAAATACTTTATATAAGTGATGGAAAAAAGAAAATGCGCTTATTGGCGTACAACTAAAATTGTTTTATACTTAAAGTACTCAACTTTAAGCAAAGTTGTAATTGTCATAATAATCATCAGTTATCACTTATTATATC